ATTATTATTATTATTATTGTCAATATAGTTATTATTTTATTATTATTATTATTATTATTATTATTATTATTATTATTATTATTATTATTATTATCATCATTATTACTGTTGTCATTGAGATCAGTACCTTTTATTTTTACGTTTATCATATTTACTACTGTTGTCGTCGTCATTATCAATATGATTATTATTGATATCTGTAAAAAGTGATAATATTAGTGTAGTTATTAATTAGGTCGAAGGTTCCATGGTCTGCGCCTTTTATTTAACAAATAATAATGTGTTGTGTGTATATATATTATTAAATATATATTGAAGTAGATTTGCTGACACATATAGGCAGAATATAGATAAAGCGTTCGAGGAGTGAAGTGTACTGTACTTTGGAAAGGACTTTCACACAAAAAACGACAAAAATAAAACCAGTGAACAACCCGCAGCAACACCGCGGTTTCAGTCTGCGACCGCCTGACGGGCAGGAGGCGTGCGCCCTACCTCGAGGGCTTTCACTGCGCTGCCTCAAGTAGTCAGTCGAGGTCGCTCTCCAGGCAGTGAGGAAAGCGCAGATATCACAGCGACAAAAGCAGATTGGTCTGGTTGATGCGCATGGTGATGCGCATGCCTTGGCCAGGGCGGCCGGCGAGGGCGGAGTGGCAGTGCCTCTGCCGGCATTTCACTGCCTGCTGCGTCATTATTTTGTATATTTATTTTCAAAGGAATGGAAATTCGCGTTGAATCTTAATCCTCTCTCGGAGGATGACTTATCCTGATGTCTCTTTATTAAGCCTTAAGGAAAGTAGGTTGCTTGTACCATAGAAACTATACTGATGAGATTTTTACGAAGGCTTTTCTTAATTTCCTCAGAGTTAGGCACAAAAAGGCTGCTCGCGTATCGGATAAAGTGTTAGGTGTTTGATAGTTCCTATAGTAAGCTCGTCTGTTGAGGAACGTTTACCACAGACTTCAGCCAGGATTGCAATTGGTTCCCTTCAGACCGATTCGTTCATTCGGTTCATCCATCTGTGTTGTCTCTGTTTCGGTGTATTTCGGGTTTCCCAAATTTCGTGTCGTTTCTGTTAGCCGTTTAGTGGATTATGCACGTAATACTGTGGCCAGATATTTTGTCTTCAGTTTTAAAGATTTAAAAGGGATTTGCAATGCGTTGCTTCTTTGTTATGATAATTCAAGCAATTGCTTTCTCAGTGCAAAACAATTTTGTTATGAATAAGTCTTAGGTAAGGCAACAAAACGTCATCACAGCCGAATCCGAAAGAAAAAAAGGATCATTAACCAAAGATTTTTGTGTTCTTGTAAACTACCTAGAAATTCATTGAACATTGTTGGGTTTCCTAGCCTTTCTGAATTATATGTACCACTGTGCTTGGGAGACGGAGTCAATAGATACCTATAATTTCTCTCGGTTTGTATATAGATATAACACTAGGTTAATGCTGTATTCAAGATATACCGCAGTGCACAACTATATATATATTTTTTTCCCTTTGACACGTAATTTGCTTTTATGAAGAGAAAAGAAAACAAATACCTGTTTTTTCTCTCACCCATTTTTCATTCCCAATGAATAGCTTACGACGACATTCACTGCCCATATTTTCAAGTAATACAGGTAAGCCAGACTCATTACACAACCCCATGGCGATCACGTGACTTTTATACCTCAGTGAAGCGGTAATCAGAAAAAAATAGTGTATAGAAAACAGTACAACTTCTCACGAGATGATGATGCTTGACCTGCTGGATTGACCCGGAGGTGAATTCTGACCTTTTTCCGAATGTGTCACCTCGGCTCCGCAGCGCAGGCCAGGAAGTTGCTTGAGCTTGGCGTGTCAGTCGGTTTACAGATTAACTGATACTAATGGTAATTATCAACATCACAGTAAACTGCCTTGAGAATAAGCTTGTATTACTTATCTAGATATTCAAAGATGATACTCATGAACCATGTTTCACAGACAACAACAAGGCATCTATTTTTAAGACATTAGTACGAGGAAACGTTACAAACCCAATGAACCATGAGCGGAGGCCGTCTATCCGTGCGACGTTTTCCGTCCAGAGCAACTGAAGCAGGAGGCCTGCGGCGCGGCGGCGTCGCGGGCGTCGCGGGCGCTGGGCGGAGGCCCCGCGAGCCGCAGGAGGCGGAGGCCCGAGCGGAACCAATGAAAGTCGCATTGCTATTTTCCTCTTTATTTTGGGTCATGATGATTTCAAGACCCTGTCTTGCCTTGGGAGTTCGTTGTTTCTTGGGGCATGCCTTAGCGTCATACGCATGTCAATGCATTTTTTAATTTATAATTTTCCTTCAACTATTTTAAGTATAATCAGGTGACATCTTACTTAGTCTTCCAATCATATATTCATCCGTATTTTTTCGACATTATCCTATTTAAAGTCTTTGTCAAATACATTGTTCATCTTACAGACTTGTAAACATGTAGTCCCCTTGTGGCTACAACTCTTAAGCTTATAGATTTAAGCT